CGGGGTCTTTAAGGTAAATGGCATAGAGTACCTTCTGCCAAGCTGCTGCCGCTGAAGCCAAGGTCTAAAGACATGCTTTCTAGAGTGTCATTAACCACCCTGAATAAACCAAGCCAAAATCAATTGTGAAGGAAAAGGAAAAAAAAGTCAATAAGGCCATTTGACAAACTACATTGGTAGGATTTATGAAAAGAAACCAAAATTTTCAAATTTAGTCATACCCGAGATGGTAGCCAAACAAGAGAGATGAAATAATTGCGACCAATATATGCGGTAACGGGCGTCTCCATGAGGGGTTTCCGATTTCTTTCCAGACACCATTTTGCAGGCGACCTAAAAAATTCGTATGAGATCAGCCATATAAGCTCACACTTTAACACGGTACAATGTGAAGTAGTATCATACTAAAATATATCCTAGTATAATGTTAAGTCCTATGATTGTCTCTAAGCTGATGGTACACTAGAGGAGTATAATACTATTTTATTTAACCAAGTTGGCAACATTTTATTTCTCTATTTGAGCTCAAGAAAATCCAGAACCTGCCAGTAGCGTTTTCAGTATTTACTGAGCAGTTTTTCAACTGCTTTTTCAAATAGTTTTAATGCGTAAGAAAGCTCATAAAAATAGAAATGGCATGATTTTCATCAAGAGGAATAAGAAATAGATCTTGGCATGACCCAAAATTTAAAAAACACCCATCTCGTGTTCACCCCTTTAATCCCCAAATACTATAATAAGCTGCATTCAGAACGTACTGATTCTAAATCTAAGATCCGTCTTGTAGATTCGATTGAACACACAAATAATTTCATTTTCTTTTTTTAAAAGAAAAGAATGTAAGGGATACGTACCTAAATTTTGTTCACGGTCATCATAATCATCAGTGAAATGGTCATTAGAAGAAGCACGCTTGTAGATCGAATAAGCATCTGCAAGACGAACCCCTCTCATACTCTGTGATTGTGATCTATGGTGCCAATACTGTAAGAAGATTCCCAATCATATACAAGCCAACCTGCCCAGATCCATTCGCGTACAAAAATCATTAGTTATCAGCTGGCCAGCCACAACATCACTTCATAACCGACAATGTCTAATCTAAACGCAGCACAAATCTCAGATCTAATGTGTCCATATTTGAACCGATAATTCAATACTCTTATTATCAATCGAGAAAATTCTTATCCTTTAAATCATAAATAGGGAGAAAAAAAAAAGTACAATCTTCTACGTTTTCAGCTGTAACTAAAGCTGGCGTTGGTTGCCTAATTATCTACCATTACCATTTAAACGCACCTATAGATAGGAGTGAGTGAGTGAGTGTGTGTGTGTGTGTGTGTCAGTATTCGTTCTTTACCTCGTGAAACGTTTTGGAAGACTGGAAAAAAGAAGAAAATTTGCGAGAGCAGAAAGGTACAGTCAGATGAAAAGGAACAGAAAATGTAGCTAAAATGGAATCAATATTGGCATTGAAGTGTTAAGAAGGAATTAATTAAGGAAAAGTAAAAGGAAAACGTACGAATGCAAAAAAGGTAAAGGAGGAACCTTAGAAATGGAGTTAACAGTTGCGGTGCGAAAAAGGGAAGTGTGTCTGTCATATGCATATGCAATTGCGGCAGAGACCATGGAAGGAAAGCAGCAAACAGAGATGACGACACGAAGGAGGATCTACAACTCTACGAGAGCTCTCAGACCAACACGTGGTCCAATATTAGTTGCTCTTGATTATTTTTTTCTTATGTCTCGCCTATCATATTATGACACGTCATCGTTTTTGCATGTACTCTGTTTCAGGGACAGTGTGGTGATTGCTTCAAAGATAATTATAATTGATGGAGTATTGTTTTATTTAAGTTGAAATGAAAAAAAAAACCTATATTATTACACGTGAGTTAACTTGGAAAATAAATTACAAATACTTTTAAATGTCTACCCGAAAATAGTTTCTGTATCTTTTTTAAAATTAGGTAAAATCTACGTATATTCTACCTCAAACCCCACTTGTTAAACCATACTGGACATGTTGTTGTTGTTGTTTTAAATAAATTTCTTTTTCTGATAAAAAAGAAATCACGCAATTAAAAGTGATTTCTATATATTGTTTTTTTTTAATGTTGGTTTCCTTTTTATTGTTTTGGTATCTTTCTTACCTCTCGCGCTACCAGCTTTAATATGGTACTCTTGGATACTATTTCAAGTTCAGTTTCAGAAATTTGTCATATCTATTTTATTTTTTTTAATTAATACGGATCACATACCTAATGATTTTGACCCAAAAACATCGGTCAGTTCAAATTATTGATTTAGGAGATATATAACCAAACCATTCCAACTAAAAAGTTAGAAAATTTTACTTCCCAGGTAGTGGGAGTCCTTGTTTATTATTCTTTTTATTATCTCTTCCTTGAGTTCTTACTGTGACGCCGATATCAAAAGCTTAGCCTGAGACTTGATTGAAATTTATCCTTTCTTTTAGGACTGAAATCTTAAGTAATCGACATTACACAAAATCATAATCTCGTGCAAAAGTTACTAGTAAGATGGAAGTTGAGTATCCAACCAAAGATCATGCCACCTATTCGTGAAGTCACCATAAACGCTTATAGCGAAAGAATTCAGGCCGGAGTGTAACTTTCTGGACATAAAGTACGGGCAGATCGGATTTTGACCCGAAGTTCATTGGAAATTGAACCCGAGATCTCATGGTCTGTTCTTAGTACCTTACTAGACTCACATTACTAAGCCACTTTCACCAATGACAGAACCATCAATGCCAGAAACATCTGCTGCAGTCTGATTATGCAGAAGTGAATAGTTGGGACAGCACGAACAAAGAAAACTTGTGGCAGAATTAAACAACTATACTCAGTTCTATTAACAATTAATTGAACTTGGGAATTAATTGAGAACAGTTTGTAAAGCTTAAGCCCATACGCCACTTTTACAAAATTATGCTATACAACAATTCACTAAAGTTACAATAGCAAACCTGTAAAAGGTAGTTTCTCTATAGATTTATAATAAACTGGTGACAACAATTATCGCGTCCAAAATCAATGTGATATACCACATACACTGCAGCACCCTCCAGGATGCAACAGAAAAGAACAAGCCACGCATCAAGAGATCAGTTTTGTCAGGTAGCACCCAGTGATGAGCTAAGCACCTGAATCTGCAAGAATATATCAATGAAAACGTGGATTTAAAGCACCTGAATCTGCAAGATTGAACTAAATAATTGTGCACGCTATACCTTATTCACAAGCATATTTACTTGCTCTCTGTACATCTCCTTCATGTCAATGATATCAGCACGGAGTTCTTCCAACTATCACAAACAAGTACACGTACCGTGAATAGAAATCCAAAGAGCACTATGAGAAAAGATCAATACTTCACTGTGGACATAGATTATATTTCAAATGGACAATTGATCTATGAATAACAAAACAACAGTACTTGACAAGTTGCATCCCCGCGCACCTAATCTACCTTGGACAACTGCACGTGTCAGTAAAGCTAAATACTATAACAGCAAGAAAATAGGATCTGATAAATCTAACTAAAGTCAAGCCCATAATCTTTATCATACTTCCATTGTTTAAAGAATTTTCATCTAGTGTCAATGAAATGTTGGTTTGTACACGGGGGGCTCAGGTGAGTCAGAGGAGGATGACAATGCATCAACAATTGGAGAACGAGAGAAAAAGCAGAGATGCAAATGTGTCTACTTAGGTGAGCAGAGAAAGGAAATTAGAGAGTATATAGCACCTAGCTAAGTTGCTCGGACTCGGGTGCGCGTATCCGATACGGGGACGGATCCGAGTATCAGATTCGGCAAAATCTAAATTTTAAGATTCGGGGGTGCGGATCCGGATATGGATACGGTGCGGGATTCAGCTAATAAAAAATAGAGCTATAAAAATATTGTAAATTTTGAGAGATATTTTGTTAAAAACTTACATGAATATTGTAGAATTCAAATATTTCATTCTCCAAGATGGACATTATTCTTTCATTCTCCTAAATCTGTTTTATTTTTTATTTTGAGAAATCAAAATCTCAATTTTTCTCCCAAATTTGCCGATGGACTCCGGTCAAAGTTTCCGAAGTCAATTGACCGAATCCGGGACGGATCCCGCTCCCGCTCCCGTCCTCGTCTCGTATGGGGACGGGGACGGCACCAAAATCGAAGAGTCCACGCAACTTAGGCACCTAGAGAGCGTATGCGGTATATTTTCCAGGATAATAGAGTAAAAATGTAATCTATGGCAACAGAGACTAAAATAAAACTGTATTCAAAATAATGTTTTTTAACAGATACAAAAATTTCACAAAGATTGATGAAACTGAAAATGGAGGCTGACATCTAACTAGACTTTTTTTCGGTAGGTAGGTTGACATCAACTAGAATGAAGATACTCTAAAGGAAAGAAGTAATCCCGACGTGGCGAAACTTCCCCTAACAAAAAGTAAATAAACTCATGCTTACAATGCCAAATAAAGGAAATCAGGTAATGTTTGAATAGAGATCCAAAGCCAAACCATATAGGATGACACCTAAGTGTTTGCACACTAATATGCTTGAACAAACATGAATGACTTGTACAAAGTGATATTTTTCAATATAAATCCAAAAAGATGTTTTACAGAGAAGAATACTCATGCATGCAGAGAATAGAACAGAGCAAAGATACAGAAAAAGAGGAAAAATCCTACATCAACTGGGTCCGGATCTACCCAATAAGCCTCGAATGAGACCCAGAATGGAACCTCTAGTAGTGCAGATTTCAAAGGCAACAGTACAGGAATTATAATTTTGTTTCTTTGACCAGAAGTCACATTTTTTGGTGGCATTTGCACAGACCCTCCAAAAATAAAAGGAAAGTAACTAAAATTTGACCCAGAACTTTCAAAAAGAAAAAAAGGGAAATGATTCTTTCAAAAATGTTGAGAGGTGAATGTGCACAAATTTCTCATCCAAAATGTATCACTATGTTGAGCCGATTCATACAGTTTGTACAAGTGTGCATCACCTTACACTTTGCGAGATTTCAAGAAATATCTGTTTTAGAGCCTAATAGAAAAAAGAATGTTCCCTTTATAATGCCTAATTTGGGATCAGCAAGAAATATGCTTGTGGGAGGAAAAAAATCATGAACCGTAGAGAAGAAACTAGTTTGTACCTCCTCATCACGTTCACCCATCAATTCAAGAGCTGCCGAGTGTCTCCTTCTAAGTGCATCTAGCTCTGCCCGAATGCCAGGCAGCACGGAAGCTTCTGAACGAAGCTTTTCACACTAAACAAATACAACAAATTTCAAACAAAGAACATCACAAAGGGAAAACTCTTAGAAGAAAAGAGAAGTTATATATTCGGAGAAAAGAGTTGACCTCTGCAGTCATTTTAACCAACTCCTCGGCCAAGGAGTCGCGGATGGACTCCATAGATGCCTGGAAGAATCAGTCAGTTAGTACCAGAAGGAAGTCAAATGAAAACAAACTGGTTTGCAAGGAAAAATAACCTTGCATGAAAGTAAACCACAATAGTTTCAGCTCCTATGGTTCGTTGTTTCAAATAAATGCTACCAGTAAATAAGCTTAATAACACGGTGCAAAAAGGCCAACAAAAACATCAAAATTATAATATAAGTGCACATGATATGCGATTAAAAGGATCAGTAAGAGAGTCCATAGTCCATACAAGTCGAGACATATATGATGCAAGTTCCCCTTCCTTCTGACGAAGTGCAGCTTCGAAAGCACTTGATGTCATGCTCTTCATAAAGTATGGACTCACATTACCCTCCAATGCATTTCTACGGTCAGATAAATTGTCAGACGAGTCCAAAGATGCTTGTAGAAAATAGCTTTCCTCCATGCTACTCAAGCTGCTAGCACTTGAAAGTCTCCGCGTCAGACTTCCTGCAGCTAGGTGATTGTTAGACATCGGGAAACACAAACCTGTAAAGCTCCATATTGAAAAGTAGACTTTGTATTAATACCATTTTCAATCCCAGATTTCTGCTTCATTATTGGGCTTTGATCAGGTACAAAATTAGATGGAGTACGAGTTGCCCTTTCTTGATCCAAACGAGCAGCTTTCTCCCGCTCTAACTCCTGTAAAACATGGGGACAATTGACTCAAACATATTTCTCATTAACAAAAATAAACACCAAGAATAACTAGCATGAAATACCAGGTTGTTTCCAGGTATTAATCCAGTCTAAATAAATTCCACCAATAAATATGTGATAAAGGTTTAGCGATCACGGATTTCAGAATAGGAGATGCATAGTGTTAAATCATATAAAAAGTTATCACAACCTTCACCTGTAACTTCCAGTGTAGATTACTCTAAGTGATACCATTACCAAACTTGTGTCCTGTGCTTATATATTAAGAATGTTCATTCTCTCGTTATTTTGATGCTTTTGAAGACAATAGAACGGCGAAAAATTGTCATTACGCAAGTGGCAAAGCTCAGGTGATAGAGCATTTACTGCCACAGATTAGATAAATGCTAAATGCCATCAACCATTTAAGTAGGTCTCAGAACTTAAAAGAGAATAAACTTATCAAATGTCTAGCAGGTCAACCCATAGCTGGTACAAAAAAGAACAAGTAAACATATTCTTCGGTTGAAGCATCTTGATCATATTTATATTATGCCGCATGTAAAACCACAAGCATCATCGGTGCAAAAACGCATTGACACAGCTAATTAATTGGAAAGTAAAACATAATGTGGTTACCTGCCGCAGGAGTTCCTGGTGAGTTAATGCTTCTTGTAGTTCCTGCTTGTGTTTCCTTCTGACTTCTTTAATTTCTTCTTCAAGCTGATTCACACGACCTTCGTTAGTCTCAGCTTCCTCCTTTAGAGCAAGATATTCTTGCCTATTCTCCGCGGCCCTCTGTCTCTCTTTGTCAAGGGACCTTGTTAGCTGTGTCTGTTCAGCTCTTAGACAAGATATCTGCAATACTAAATTTGTAAGCAAATTCCTGGGAAGAAGCTCTATGGAAGCAGCATCATAGCAATAGGTAAAAGAACCTGAGCCTCAAGCACATTGATCCGAGACAGGGTTTGAGAAAGGCGTTCACTAATAGATCGCTCCTTCTCCTCTGCAGTTGCAGCTTTTGCCTCAGCTTCCTGCAGAATAAAATTAAGAATCCCTTCGAGTTTCAACTATAAATAACGTTTGTATATGTTTCTCTTAAAACCTGAAGACGTGAATTCAAGGTTCTCTCGACAGCAGCCCAAGCTTCAGTCTTTCTGGCGTTTGTTTCCTGTAATCAAAGAAGATGCATAGAAACATAGACATTAGAAAAGCGGTCCATATACCAATAGGTCCATGACCATTTATACAATATGAAAAATAACATCTCGGCAGCAACCTGCATGGCTTCTATCTGCCTGAGAAGAGGTCTGGTAGATTCAGGAACTTGTGTTATCAACTCCTCACATCTACGCTCACTGGCCTAAACATAGAAGAACAAATATACGTAAAGCAAACATAATTAAGCAGTAAAGCAGAAAATTTTGCAAAACAAAAAAGTAGAATGCAGTTATACTTGGTATCTTTTCTGGAGATCCTCAATGTCTCTGCGCAACATATCTTCCCTAAAAACTGCCTGCAGGTGAAGAAAATATTAGGTACTGGGAATTAGATGGACAAACCCCGATAGGACACTATTCAAGAATATAAACCTGCTGCTCCGTTCTGCTTAGTGTTTGCCTTAATTCTTCAAGTGCCTGAACAAGCATGGCTTCACGGTCTTCAGCCTCTCTTAGGCGACCCTCTAGTTGAGTTCTGGCTTCATTGTTAGCCCGTGCCTCAGCTAAAGCTTCAGCTTCTCTTGCGGCATTTAGCGCATTAGTATAGTAATCTTTTTGCGTTGCCAGCTCTGCTTGATGTTTTTCTACTGTTTCATGAAGCAACTTTTCCGTTGCTGCCTTATCTCTCTTTATACTCTCTACTTTATTCTCTTCAACCTAGGAAAGGCATAAGCATGTAACTTGAAATCACAACTTCTACCATAATCCCACGTAAAGTAAAATGATAAACGTAAAGCAATCAACCCACAACTAACACTTTTTTTTGAGATGATAACAGTTTGCTATATTCAAAAGCACAAAGGCTGTGCATGCCATAATTACATAGGGTATAACCAAAAATATACATCAATTTATCTATCTTCTTACAAAGACCCAAGGACATCTATTATAGCTTCTGAGTCCTCTATGTATTCAAGTTTACACCAAAAATGAAAAAGCATTAAGCAATTCATTTTAATCTTCTGAATTGAGTTAGCATTGTCTTCAAAACATCTTGAATTCCTCTCATTCCAAAGCGTCCACCATATGCATGCAGGAATCATACCCCATCTCTTCTTGTCACTTACAGATCTTCTCCCCTTGTTCCAACATGACAACATTTCCATGGTGCTGTTGGGCATGACCCATTGAATCCCTGTGAGTGCTATAAATATGTTCCAAACCTGAACCGTCACCGAACAGTGCAGAAAAAGGTGACTGTTGGTTTCCTCCTCCCTTCCGCATAGGTGACATCTAGAGCACAAAGATATTCCTCTTCTCCTCAAATTATCATGTGTTAAACAAGCGTTTCTAGCAACCAACCAAACAAAACAAGCCACTTTGTAGGGTATTCTTACTTTCCATATGTGTTTCCAGGGCCAAAGATCAATCATAATATTAGTTTGATTAAGCATATGGTAGGAAGACTTGACTGAGAACCTTCCTGAGCTGTGCCCCAACCACCACACCTTGTCTACGTCCTGATTGACCCCAGTGAATTGATTGAGTTCGTTGTAAAAATCTGTCATTCTATTGATTTCCCAATCATTTAAGAGTCTTCTATAAGTGAGATTCCACCCTTGAGCTGACCAAACCTCGTTCACAGTGGCCTTCTGCTGCTGATTAATTGAGAAAATGTCTGGGTACATTGTCTTAAGAGGCTCCTGTCCCAACCAATAGTCTTCCCAAAAAGAAATGTTCTGTCCACTACCCACTTTATAGCTGATTTTGTTGCTGAAGATTTGCCAAAGATTTCTGATTGTCTTCCGGACGCTAACCCCATAGGTAGTGTTTACTATCTTTGTTTTCCAGGGCCCTGCCTCTCCATACTTGTCTTTAATAACCATCCTCCATAATGATTGTTCTTCTGTTGTGAATCTCCACAGCCATTTCATGAGTAAGCTTTGGTTTTGTTTCCTCAAATTTTTTATTCTCATGCCTCCTTGCCTCTTGCTAAGTGTGACTGTCTTCCACTTAACTAAATGAAACACTCTTCTTTCTTTGTTGCCTTGCCATAGAAATTTTCTCCTTAAAGCATCCATTCTCCTTTCAACTTTTGGAGGGATAGGGAACAAAGACATCATATAAGTAGGAAGGGCATCCAGTACACTATTGATAAGTACTAACCTGCCTCCTAAAGAGAGATATTGACTTTTCTACCTTGCTAGTTTCTTTTCGCATTTCTCCAAGACCCCATTCCATATATCAATGGATCTACACTTAGCCCCCAAAGGCATACCAAGATAAATAGTTGGAAAAACACCAATTTCACCACCAAGAATCCCCGCGAGTTGCTGAATCTGCCGAGGTTCATTAACCGAGAAAATTAGGCTTTTTCCCCCAGTTAATATGAAGCCCTGATATGCCTTCAAAGATTGTAAGAATAACTCTCAGCATCCTTATCTGATCTATCTCAGCATCACAAAGAATAATGGCATCATCTGCGTAGAGGAGATGTGATATCTCCAGACTTGCACCTTGTCTGTTGTTTAGCCTGAAACCCCTGATCCAATTATTCTGTTGCGCTGTGTGGAGCATGTTGTTCAATCCCTCCATAGCTATAATGAACAAAAAAGGGGACAAGGGATCCCCTTGCCTCAATCCCCTGTGTGAGGGAAAGAAACCTTCAGGCGAGCCGTTAACCAACACTGAAAATCTGGCAGTGCTAATACAAAATCTGATCCAATTGGTCCATTTTGTACCAAAACCCATCTGTCTCAGCATGTTTATTAAGAAGTCCCAATTAACGTGGTCAAAAGCTTTTTCTATATCTAACTTGCACAAGATTCCTGGCTTCTTCTCCTTCAATCTAGAGTCAATACATTCATTGGCAATAAGAGCAGCATCCATGATTTGCCTTCCTTTAATAAAAGTCATTTGGTGTTTGCCAATCAGCTTAGAGATCACTACTTTAAGTCTTTCTGCCAAAAGTTTAGAGATAATTTTCTACACACTACCTATCAGACTGATAGGCCTGTAATCCTTTAATTCTTTTGCCCCATTTTTCTTTGGAATCAAAGCAATGTAGCTGGCATTTAGGCTCTTTTCAAAGAACTCCTGGCTGTGAAAATTCTGAATAGCTTGCAATATGTCTCCTTTAATGATATCCCAACAATTGGAATAGAAACCCATAGTAAAACCATCAGGACCTGGGCTTTTATCAATAGCACAGAGTTTGAGGCAGTCATGCACCTCTTAATCCCCAAAAGATCTTTGAAGCCATTCTTTTTCTTCATTAGTGATTGCAGGACCGTCCACCATGTTAAAGTTTGGTCTCCAGAATTCAGACTCCATAAAAAGATGCTGATAAAACCTTACTATCTCTTCTTTAATAGCAGCAGGCTCTTCTAGTGTTACACCATTAACCACTAGTTGATCTATGTTGTTGTACCTCTTATGTGCATTTGCTGTCCTCTGAAAGAATTTAGTATTTTTATCTCCCTCTTTCAACCACAAGGCCCTAGACCTTTGCCTCCAAGCAATCTCCTCATTTTTTGCCACCTCTTCAAATTCCATGAACAAGTTGGCTTTCAATAAAACTTCCTCTTCATTCAAGTTTCTCTGCTCCTGAATTGTATCCAACTCTGAAATCTGATTAAGGATATTGATCTTGATGGACTCCAAATTTCCATGCTTTGATAGATTCCACTCCTTTAACTTCCCTTTTAAAGCTTTGAGTTTGCTTGCCAGGATATAGTCTGGTCTGCCTGCAAACACAAATGAGTCCCACCAAATCTTCACTTGTTCATTGAACCCCTCTACTCCTAACCACCAGTTTTCAAATTTGAAGTAGGATTTGTTGTAGTCCAAATCCCCACATTGTAATGCTAGAGGAAAATGATCTGAGGCTACTCTCTGTTGGGTAGACTGTTTGATACTCCTAAATTCCTCGTTCCAATGTGTTGAGACGAGGAATCTATCAATTCTGGAAGAAGAGTCCTGAGACCCTCCCCAATTCCTTGTATATAAGCCTCCATTTAAAGGAAGATCTACAAGCTCCATGTCATTTATGAAATCAGAAAAATCAATCATATCTCTTGTTAGGGCGGTACAATTCTTCTGTTCTGAGATAAACCTGGGCGTGTTGAAGTCACCACATACCACCCAAAGATCTCCACAGAGACCCCTGGCAGCCCCAATTTCTTCCCACATTCCTTGTTTTTCTCTTCTACTATTTGGACCATATACCCCTGTTAGATACCAGGAAAAGTCCTGGGCAGTGGCCATGAATTTGCAAGTCAAGGAGTGTACTCCTGTACATGTAACTTCACCCTTCCAAATTCTACTATCCCACATCATTAATATCCCCCCTCTGGTCTCACTAGCTTGCAGACATTCATATTTCACCCATCTATTTGCCCATAGTTGCTTTACATACTCATCTATATCCCCTTCTACTTTGGTTTCTTGAAGACAGTAAATATCAGCTCTACACTTGTGTATTAAACTCATTAAAGTGCTCCTCTTCCTCCTTCTATTTATCCCCCTAACATTCCATGAGATTATGTTTATCTTCATGGATCAACAATTGACTGGAATTTCCCCCGGCTTTTGTCCCCTAAGCTTTTGAACTTGACATCAAAATTAACTAAACCTTTGAGTTCCTGAGTACCTTTCCATCTTGGAGTTGAAGGTGTTGTTGTGATTGGTTCTGCTCTGTGAATCTTTCTCTGGCTATCGATTTTGATAAAGAGAGCAAGGGCCTCTTTTTCGCATCCCTGAAAATCTACTCCAAATTTGTTGCTCAGGCGAATTATATTGCTGTGCACCCACAACGTTGCATCCATCTCTTCGTCAACAGGTTGAACATCGATTGGTTCTGCATTCTCTAACACCCATGGTTGCTCTTCAGAAACTTCAATTATCTGCATATTAGATGATTGTTGTCCTCTTTGTTGGTTGTGAATTCCTTCTGTATTGTTCTGTTCCAGCATAATCACTCCTTCGTTTTGTTCTGCTCCATTCTCTAGGCAATTGAGAAAGGCCACCTGTTTAGGAGAGTTTTCGATAGCTTTAAAGCTAGAAATACTCGAACCTTCTGATGTGGATTGACTGTAATTGACTTCTAATTCCAGGAGCATTGGATCAAGGTCTTTTAAAATAGCTGGTGACTCTTGGGCTCTATTTAAAAGCAAAGGATCTGTTGGCCCATAACAGTTAATGGGCCTATAACCCAAATCCTTATTAATAACAACTATTGGGACCAAGGCAGCCTGTTTGTCCCTAGCACGTGCCTCCTCACGTGTCAACAGATTTGAATTGATTACTCCTATCGATGTACCCACGTGCTCAATCGTATTCTGCGGAAGAGAAGTCCCATCACCTTCCTCACAGGTCTGGTTCTCCTCGGCTAGGTCAAAAGAATCACTGCCAGAGAGATTTCCGGCCTCCACCCTCGCCGGAATTTCACACCATATAGGGATGGTGTAAATAAAACCATCACTTTCAACTTCCACTTCTTTCGGTACATTGGTACCATCTCCCTTCACTTTAATTCTGGCCCAGCGCAAGTGATTCTTCAGACTAGTTTCTTCTTCTGTTTCAATCCATCCCCCGCAAAAATTACCGATTTCGCTAAAGACCTTTTGGGACCATAAATTCAGAGGAAGCCCTAAAAGTCGGATCCAGACCCAGTTCCTTTCTGCATTTTTTGGCCAGCAGCCAACTGTGGGAGACCACCAATCAAGTATCAGCTTTACCTTTTTCCATCTCCATTCCCCTGTCAGCACATGTTCAGCAGCTTTTCTTGTCGGCATTTCAAACAAGAAGAATGAGTCATTCATCTCATAAACATTTACTCCATGAGCAGATTTCCAAACTGAAGCGACCCATCTCCGGACATCGTTGAGTGTTGGTATTTCCTTCAAAGAATCGGGAAATTTTCCAACAATACATCTTCCTAGAAGATCATTATCTGAAGCCTTATGGCTGCCAGACATAATAATTCTGGAATTTTGAGTCTTGATCGGCGAAGGTTTGGTCTCTGTTGTCGTCCATTTGTTGGCCCTGAGTTGTTCAGCATAAGAGGAGGCAATGACTGGGTTGAAGGCTTTTTCTTCCGCTATGATTGCATCATTAATGAATCTATCCATCTTTAATGCTATCTTCCCCCATCCTTCTTTAAATGTACCTTCTGGAATTATTGTAACTGATCTGCTGTCCCCTTGTATAGCAATAATGCTGATATATCTGCCGTATTTATTATACTTCAATGTGCCATAAAACTGAGAGAAGAACTCATTTGTTTTCCAACGTAAGACGGACATAGTCTGAACCTTAGATGCCATTTTAAGAACATAGACAATCCACTTCATGATTTTATGACTGAAACTTAATCTCCGAAACATGTTCCTGCTGCGTTCCCCCCAGTCATACCAGATTTCAGATCTTGAATAGGTTCTAGCGATCTCATAAGATTTAAAACCTGAGTTAAAATAAATCTTTTCTTCCCCCATGTTGAATTTACACCCAGTTTCTGAGCAATCACCGCTGAATGATTAAGGAGAAACTAAGTTCCTTGCCAGAGAATTGCCGGAGAAGTGGTTGTTTAGCTTTCAGAAGAGAGAGAAAGCTACCTCCGTAATCGTGCCTGGGAGCATTTCTTGGAATGTTTTTTCTGTTGGGTAGAGAGGCAAAATTTTATGGAATCTTCTTTTTAGAAGAAATTTCAATAATTGGGTGATTGGAAATGGGAGCTGCTTACCCACAACTAACACTTGTTGGTGACGATTTTAAAAACTGTCCCGGAACAGCTCTAAGGTTCAGTTAACAACTCAAGAACAGAGGGAACATTGAAGTAAAAGTACGAAAAAAATCAAATTTCACTATGGGTGTTTTGTTCTTCAGCCGTGGAGAGACTTTTGAATTGCGAGGTACCAAGAAACGTCCTGAAATACTCTTTAAAATGCTCAATGCACACTTGCAAGATTCTACTCAAGGGGTTAGCAAAAGGCAACTTCTAAGTCACGTGTTCCGGAAACTGTCATTTTCTGAAAAATATCTTCCGGAAAAATGTTTCCGGGTGTTTGGTTGGTGAGTAGAAAATATTTTCCGATTTTTTTATCAAATAGTTAATAATAATGTTAGCAAATTGGATAGCGTGTTGATGAAACTTTTAAGTATAAAGATTTATAATAATGTCCAACGTGTTAGTCGAGCAGCTATCTGAAGTAATAAGTTGGGATAATTGTGAAGGAAAACGACTTCCACCCATATGTAAGGTAAGACATTTTCTCTTCCACCTAGTGGAAAATATTTTATCCAAAAAGTGACCTATTTTGCGGATAACTTTCTCCAAAAAATATATTCCTTCATACCAAACATATCTTGAACACTTCCCACTTTTTTAGATGAAGTTCCGCTGCAGCTAGTGTTAGTTTTAGAAAATTTTCTACCCTCCAATAATTATAATAAGGCACGTTAAAACAAAAAACTCTATTTAGCTGAAAACTCAGAAAAAACATTTTGTGAAAATGAAAGCAAGGAATTCTACATTTGAACATAAAAAGAACACATAACCACAATAGGAGAGAGCTGAAAGTAATGAGTAATCCAGACACCTTTTGTTATTTAACAATGAAAAATTCAGACACTCCTCACAATATCTATAATGAGGTCACTACATCAAATAAAAATGACTGACCTCAAGCTTGGTAAGTAATCCTTTCTTCTCTTCTTCAAGCTCTCTGATCTAACTTTCAAAACAAATGGAAGGTTTGTTAAAACTTACAAATAAGCTTTCTGAGATGGAATAATGAGTATGCCTGATTCCACACCTGTGCCCTTAATTTTCTCATTTGAGCTTCTTGGGCAGCTTGCTTTTTAGAAAGCTGCTCACCTGGAAGAAAAAATAAGTTTTAGACATTTGAAAATTTGAAATGGCATAAGGAGAGTCCAAAATATTATAGGGCTTATACAAACTTTAAAGGAATGAAGAAATTTCTCCAAATAATCTGATATACGTGTCAACCAGGTAAAAGATTAAACTGTGTCAGCAGGAGACTCTAGACAAACATACCAATCAAAAAAAAAAAAAAAAAAGGAGACTCTAGCCAAAGGTTCAGCAACAGATAAAGTTCCTCACAAAAGGCTGGATATGATGTAACTTACAGCATGCACAAACTTCAGACTTCTTCCAAGGAACGCATTTTTAAGACATGAGTACCTATCAGATTCTCCAATTACACCCAAACAGCCTATTCGACCAATCTTGAATTTCAATTTTCTCTAATGAAATTAAAATTCGAGAAGAGATAGAATCCTAGTGAGCCTAAACACACCCTGTAATTTGAAAAGCTTTATAATGCTTGGTGCAGTTGTAGGTGTAAATTTTGAGACCCGTTTATGGTCCGTGTCCTAAAATGATCACTGCCCATTGCTGATCAGATTCTGGACTCATAATGTATGTCTGAACCCAATTTGCTAATGTAGCACAGTTGACTACTTACTCTATCAGTCATTTCCAACCCCCACAAACATCTAACTATCAAGCTACTTCCAGACATCTAATCAATGTACCATAGCTACCATCTAAGTAGCATTGATACAGATACAAGTTTCATGTAAGATACAAGTATGACATGAAGACATGGAATTTATCTTTAAAATACATATATTTGTATCTTTCATAAAACCTGTAAGTGGAACAATTATTGCGCTATTATAACTACTCCTCAATCCCAAGCTAGATGTAGTTGGCTATATGAATCCTCGCTATCCATTTGAGCCCGTTTCTTTCAAATATTCAATAATTTAGGTTCCCGAGCACTAAAAGCCCCTCTACTAAAACATACAAACTTCTAAAAAGATTATTGAACGCAGAACCTAACATAATATGACCAACATGACTAACCCTTAACCCCAGCTAGTTGGTATCACCTGTATGGATCTTTTTCTTTCTATTGGGTTTTATTTTTCTGGAAGTCTGCATAAGTTCCAAGATATTGTACGTCTTTTGAAATAACTTAATTCCATGTAATTTAGGTCTAACACGTCTCTTTTTTAACACCTTCAATTGTCATGGTTACACACCTTTGACCGGTGTATCTGAAGGTCTAATCTTGACCTAGTGGCCTATCCTCTCCAAGTAACCTTAATCTAGTTCACTAGAGTGCCTAAGGTGGCCCGTTGTCCTCTGTTCTTTTAAGATGCCACCGACATACAAGCCTAATAAACAAAACAGAAAAGCAAGAAGCATCTATAGATCATAACTTTCAGAAAGAAACGTAAAAACACATAATGAACTGTCATAGATTCAACTCGGGAACTGTTAAACTTCATCATCAGACATCATAATATAATTCAAACCATTCAAATACCAACGAAACTATCAAGCTCAATTACAAAATGTAACTGTGCAAATTGAGCTCAAGATTATGTGAAATGAAAATTTCTCAATCCTAACTCCTAACACACTGCATCAACTTCTTACAGCATCACCATCGAGCCTTCTTTCTGTTTCAAATTTTTGTTTTGACACTACCTACATATTAGCAACAAGCACGATCCACACATATGTTTTTTGATACGGTAAATGATTATATAAATGATGGGAAAATCCCGTATACAAGCCGTATACCAAAAAAGTAGAGTTCCTACACCAAAATATGGTTCTCCACAAAAGATTTACAGTATATACGACACACACTCTAGCATAAGTATGGTATCGAAGATTCATAGTCTATATAAAATCTAAGACACCACCTAAAATTAATGTAAGTTTACCTTGTTCCTAACTGTACAATTGTCCTATATGCCACATATAGTAGGAAAGCTTCATGCGAAACAAAGGCCAAATGATGGTATAATGCATTAAAACCACTTGTTAGAGACAGATTGAGTTTATCATACCTTCAGCCATTACTTGAGTAATTATCTCATCCTTCTCTTTGAGAAGAGCTGCAGCATCACTTTTCTTATTCTGTTCCCTGCGAAGTGTATCCCTCTCCCGGGTTAGAGCATAAACCTGAAATAAATGAATGTCAAAATTTTCATTAGTAACACTTTTTTTAAATGGAAAGTAGTAGCACATTTAAAAACAACATAACGAGACATCGCATGTTCGCCTTTTAATAGCAAACAGTAATGCTAAGACACATTCCACAGGAAATATGATCTTAAGTAAAGGAGAAGTAGACGGTTGCATCCTTGCAAACTCGACAGCTCAAAATTTTTCTTCTTTTCCTTCATTTAGAAGTTCCCGCCAGCGCCTCTAATGTCTCTGATTATTTGATCACCTGGCTATAATATGAATGTACTGCCACATGTGAAGCATTAACAACATTTCCTTCTAAAATATACGGAGTTTTGTAAGCTTTATACAGTAAAATTATAAAAGATATCTCTGACCAAAGAGGGAAAAGGCCGAGAAATATTTCAGGCTCGGCATGGATTTAAAAAAACATAAAAGAAAATATCTTCTAAATGAAGGAAAAGAGGAAAAATCTAAAAAGAAGCAAATTTGTCCTCAAATACTACATTAAGTTTATAAGGACATCCGGAGGAGTTTATTACGATCTTGCACTACCCCACCTATTGTCTTAAGGGTTTGAATTAAATGTTCAGATTCTATCACATGGTATTAAAAATCAAAACCTTAGCATGCATGTGCGTGAGCCCAAAAATCAGGTTACACATGTGGAAGTGTGCGTTGAAGTCTCACATCGGGTAAATAAGGCATCTAAAGGGTTTATAAAGGTCTCGTGCTACTCCACCCATAAATTATCTTATTTTCTTCATTTTTTTTCAAATACTTTGACTTCCCATTATTTTAGAACTTTCTAATATAATTTTTTTTTGAAAGCCGAGAAATCCCCAAAAGCCAGCTAGCACGCAATTGGAACTTAGGTGGATTATCCCCCTCCCCCCACCTTCTCCACTCAAGTACTAGACTTTTGTCTGCGGCAGGGTACAACTTATGAAGTGTGTCTAATCCGCACATCACGTGTTGCACTCGTACCACTAGAACAAAGCCCAGGGCCTTTGAAGTAATATTTTGATCAGTAATAAAACATTGTGATATGCCTATTAACACTTTCGTATTAAAGAAACAAATAACAATGATGCCCTCAAACGTGACATAGAAAAAGATTAAAATTAAAGGTAAGAGGATTTGCTTTAGAAAAATTAACCGGGGAACTGTAATTCTAGAAAGTACATATGAGGTTTCAGCAGTAAATATATATATATATATATATTAGGAAAGGATGTAAAATTTCTTCAAAATTATTAATTAACTTAGAAAGCTTGGAAATTTGCCAGCCAACAAAACCTTTCTCTTCATTCTCCAAATATCATGTCTGTGCAGCATAAAAGAAGCTGCTTCTACTTTTAATTTCTTTCATTTTTAAAATAACAAGCAATTCATATATTTAGTAAATATAGTCTTACTAATTAGCATGAACGGGGTTCGACCCATTAGAGGCACAATTTTCTTCACTTATTCACCTATCAGCAAGACATTCCTGCATTGTTAGAGTCTACTAGAACCATTTAAAAGCTAAAAAACTAAGGACCACACAAACAATATACAGAATCTCCGAGCATAAAATATGAAGAAGTTAAAGGCATAAAAGATGAAGCAGAGCAATTCAGTGATGCCTAAATGAAGCAGCAAAACTAAGCAACAACGTGTAAGCTCTATCAAACTGTCTTTCAAGAAATTCATATTACTGTTGCAATGAGGAACAGCTGATGATTAAGTCATAATGCAAGTACATACTACAGCAGTGGAAGTTCAAGCTGAAACATCCTTTGAACACATACATACCTTTCTCTCAAGAGCAGACACTTTTTGATGGTACTCTTCTCGCAAAGATTCAACTTCTGCATCATTGGACTTCCTCTGTATAAAATTAGGGTGAGTAAGCAGAGAAAGATATAAGTAGAAGGGAGTTTTGAGGGCTGAAAGATGAACCTAAAGTCAACATAAGAGGAAAGCTGCAGAATGGGGAACTAGAAATTTTTAAAACTGCATTGGAACTCATCAGTTTAAATAAGCACCCAAGGGTGTACCCCAGTGGTCAATCAAGTGGAAGGTAGCAAGTACCCTATGGAATTAGTTGAGGTGAGCGCAAGCTAGCCCGGACACCACGGTTATCAAAAAAAATACTGGTTAAAGTTTGGATCAATTATACCCATTTATTCATTACAAAATACATGGATATTGGCGCGCTGTATGCTAATTCCCAGCAGCAATTACAGACCCAATCGCACAAATGATATTAATACTAAAGGAAAGATAAAATGAACGACAGAAGAATTGCTTGCAAGGATGATTGTCACCCAAATTATTCTGTACCTAAATTGATATACGAAACAAGCAGTGAGAGAATGAAAGAACATATTAAGTACAAGTCATCTGACAAACAGAAGAGAAGATACGATTTGTCTAATAGAACATGCAACGTGTATTGATGTCAAAGTCACCAATGATGTAACACTATGCCACAGCTATAATTCTTCCAGCCCTCCACACATCTAGTCCAGAGAAGTCCGATCATATTGACGATATTTATAAAAAGTGCTTAACAAGTTAGCTGGTAATTAAGATGACTTAACCAGTTAAGCAGAGAGCTTACACAATACTGGCCCACATGTGAGATTTACCTCCAGAAGAAAAAATGCAAGCAAGGGGCCAAAGTGAAAGAAATATCATTAAATAACAAGCAGAAAAATAAAACTAGAAAAATCATAGAATAAAAAATTTTTAAAAAAATGAAAAGGAAGATCCATCCTGAAACTATAGTATGTCTTTGACTCGTGCCATTTGCAAAAATTGTATACAGCAACAAATGAGTTATAGCCTCGAAAGGAACTTTAAAGTGATGGGAACTTACTCTCAGATCCTCAATAGCAGACTTCAGTTGCTCGTTCTCATTCATCAACTTCGCGATTTCATCAGCTTTCGCCTAAGGAAAAACAGTAATATGTCATCTCATTGAATGTTCATATTTATAAACAAGAACTGAAATTCAGAACTAGCACACCAAGTGAATTCTTTTTTCAAGTATGCTGCATAACAGTAAGTTTGGATAATGAGAAGTTAAGCACATAAAGGGAAAATTAGTCCCAATCTCCGAAACCTTATAGTATTTATTTATTGGCTTTGGAATAATCTTCCTGCATAATAAGAAAGGGCTAAATGCAACACATTTTTAGCTTCCCTCTAAGTCTCGTCTTTAGGCGTGTACCAACATCCCGTGCCAGTGGATGTTGCAACTTTCAAAGGATCCACAGACTCAAACAACGGGAAATATCCATGCTTTCAGACATTTGGGACCTCAAGATGGGAAACTATGTTATAAAAGACAAGTGCAAGAAAATGTCAAATGGAATGAGTCAATGACGCAGACAGAAGATTCAAATCAAGACTTTTTTAACTGAAGCTGGCTTTAGTTAAAATTCAACTCACTGAAGCAACTTTTATCGATGACCTCACAAGTTGGGAGGATGATTGAAAACAAATGGGATTGAGCTAATCTTTAGATAACACAATGAGAATTATTGGACACTCCTATTTCAGGTACAGACACCAAAAAAGTTCATATTCTCAAGTAATATCGAAAGATTCAGAACCTTGACATTTCCCTGTTTTATTCAGCATGTTATCCTGCGTTACTGCTGATGCTGAGGATCACCAGGTGCATAAATTTCTGTTAAAAGAGGATAAGGACATACCTGTGCTTGTCTAGCAGCTCCTTGTAATGCAGTTTCCATCATTTTCATTTCCTTCTTCAGCTTCTCCAGTTCAACCACTGTGTCTGTAACATCTGAAGAGTTGCTTCCTGAGCTCAACCGTTGTTCTTTCACGTCAGTCTCATGATCATTTCCTCGCTGGGTAGCCCCAACAGGTCTACTAACTGACTCATTTTCATGCATAACTGATTCAGATACCCTCTTCCAACCTTCATCTGTGTGCTGGTCACCAAGAAAGCTCCTGTTAGAATGCTCTTCAACACTGCCATCTTCACTGGCAGTTACAGAATCGGAAACAGAAGGTCTTCCACTTTCTGCTCGGTCACTTGACGCATCCTGTGATTGAACTGGAGGAGACTCCTCAGTGACTTCTTTCTTCTCTTCCCTGTCTGCTCGGTCACTTGATGCATCCTGAGATTGAACTAGAGGAGATTCATCAGTGACTTCTTTCTTCTGTTCCCTGTCATCGTCGGTATTTTCCTGTGAATCAACAAGCAGCGGGATACCAACTTGAGTTTGAGATAAAGCATTTGATGTCTGGGAGGCAACCAACTCCAGATTTTCAGATGATTCTTCCTCTGGAATATTCTTTTGGGGGATTTCTGGAGATTTTTCCTGAGCATGATCTAAATTGACTTCCGACGCTTCAGCCACTGAATCAATTTCAGCTTTTCTTTCATCTGGTCCGATATCACTTCTTTGCTCTTCCCTCTCAACCTTTGTTTCCATAGTAGAGTCTAGTTTGACATCAGCAGCTCTTGCTTCCTCGTTTTCTTCTTCAGCAGAAATCTTTTGGTTTGGTTTCCCATCAACATTTTGTGCTTCTTCATTCGCTTCTTCAGCAGATTTAGTTTGCTCAATTACGTCCCTTGTTTCTTCTTTTGGTTCTTTAGGAACTACATCATGTTGAACTGTAGATTCAGCTGAATCTTCAACTACCTCCTCAGCGGGCAAGGCGGGCTTTGATGACTCAGCTTTTTCTATAGATTCTACAGCAGTCTCCCCACCTTTTTGTCCCATAAAAGCCATGACAGGATCAAACAAGGCCTTCCTATCCGTACTGGAAGGCCATAATCCTGAAGCTGCATGCAATCACAAGAAGAAAAGGGAACATTGAAATAAATCAGTCAGCCCTGAAATTTGACTATTCCTAAGAAATGCAGCAATATAATATACTTAAGTAGGCTTAACTGAATGCATGGAATATGCTATAGAGGCTATCAGTACTATGCAATTCTTGGCAGAATCAATGATCTGTTTGGAATTACACTTACATTAGGATCGGGTGTTTGCGAACTCTCTTTCTAGTCTGGTTAAGGGACTTTAAATTAGTACAGTGATAAGTGTGAGAGTTAAAGAAACTCTAGCTTCAAAAGAGTCCTAATTTTCCTGAATATAGTGGAATAGATATACATCTATATAGCTGAACCCAACCATGTCTAGGATTAGGTATAGGTTACTGATAGGTATGATATATTTGGGAAGTTTAGACCAACATAAGCGTATTTTGAGAAAATGATAAAAAGTAAAATAATCATATAACTTTGGAAAAGAGATACCTTCAGTGCTAGTAGATTCATCAGATTTCTCCTCGAGACCAAGAGCCGTGTCGAAATTCTTTTCGATGTTTTTGACACTCTCGCTGAGCTTATTGACGGCACCGGCAAGATCCAAGTTCGCCAAATCAAGTTTCCCACTAAACCACGCCATTTTCTTTTCACACTCGATCCGAAGCTCAAATTATATGGCAACCTCCTTCATCCTATCAAATTAAATCACACATTGTCAAAATTCTAGGAATCAAATAGAACGTCTATAAACAAAACTACCGATTCAGATCCCATCATTCAATAATTGCCGATTCGGATAGTTGCAACGAATCAAGGGACGTAATAGTATTGAGAATTTTTTATTAAGATTGGACCTTGTGAAAATGAATAGATTGAAGAAGCTGGATTTGAAGAAACCTCCTTAGGGAAGTGGAGATAGAATAAAGATTTGGGCAGGGGCGTAAAAGAAAATCGATCTGGGAACTTTGAACTTCAGCGTCGACCGTCACCCTTTTTTTCTTTTTTCTTTTCTGCTTTTAAACGTTAACGGCGTACAAATTGGAAGTCCCTGTATTTTTATTTTTTTTCGCTCCAATAGGCTTACTGGAGTATATCATATATATGATATCTTCACCGTTAAATTATTTCGGAAATTCTTGTATTCGTATAAAGTCTTCTTTTTAATTTCTTTTATAATGATTTTATCAATGATGTCTTATAGCCTGTTTCGCCAAGTTTCTTTTTGGCCAAAAGTGCTTTTTTTGGTCAAAAGCACTTTTGGCCAAAAATTGAGGTGTTTGGCCAAGCTTTTAGAAGGAAAAATGTGCTTTCGAGGAGAAGCAGAAGCAGTTTTGGAGTAGCAGAAAAAAGTAGCTTCATTCCAAAAGCACTTTTGAGAAAAATACACTTAGAAACAGTTTTTTAAAGTTTGGCCAAACACTAATTGCTGCTCAGAAGTGCTTTTCAAACTAATTAGCCAAACACAAACTGCTTCTCACCAAAAGTATTTTTGAGAAAAGCACTTTTGAAAAAAAAATACTTTTCAAAATAAGCTGATTTTTGCAGCTTGGCCAAATGTGCTATCAGTTGTATTTGGCCTGTTTCGTTCATACAAAGTTTTCTAAAAGTAAAGACTTTTAGATCTCGCATTCATCATGATACTGGCATACACTAACCAAACTTAAAATAAAAAACTACTATGGCAAATGCAAGATCTAATTTTTGGAGCCTTCTCTTATATGATATTAACTAGTTTTTCAGCACATGCATTACGCGTGTACTCTATCTCAATAAGCATTATGTTTTTAAACAATTACATAAATATAATATTAAAAGTTTTAATTGAGTTATAAAGTAAAAATTAGAAACAAAAGCATATAAGTACAAGAAAATGATAATTGTTGCTTCTAATTTATCAAGCCTAAGTAAGGGAAAATAACTCTACCAGCTATGTCTTCAATCATCTCAAATCTCAATCGATATATTCAACTTAAAAATGTTCAAATTTTTGCATGAATTTTCTTGAAAAAGTATTTATTCATAAATACACAAATGGCCAGCTAACATGAAATATGTCTCTCTTTTTTCTAACAAGCAAAATGCATAAAATACAAATTGTCCCTTTTTTTTCTATAAGAAGGTATTTCCAATATATTGAAGAATAAAATATTATTGCAAAATAAAGTCTAACTACTACATCTTGATTAGTCTACTCTTTTTACATATTGAGGAGAGTTTTCTTTCTATATCGAAACACACACCATGCATTCGAATATTATTTTTATGGAGGCAAGAGTCTATGATTGTTATTGAATTTTTTCCCATTGATGAATTTTGAAAGGACGATGTTAATATCCGAGAAGCTGTAAAAATCTGAAAAACATGTTAATATCGTATTAGAATTTATTCTTTCAACTAATTTTTATAAGTGTTTAAGTTTTCGTGTGTGTCTATATATAATTAATTATTATTTAAATTTGACTTTTTAAAAATAGTTCGATGCAAAATTTAAGTGTTTATATTTTCTAAGGATATTTTTAAGAGAAATATATTACAAAAATACTTTTATCAATTCACTTTAAAAGTATTGTTAAAACTTTATTATGATTTCTTTAATTGAGGATCACTCATATATTCTAAATTTCAGTCACTTATAGGCACCTTCGTAAAACAATACATGCAGTTCCTCTCTTCGTAATAACTTAACTTTATATTTTAATAAAGTACATTTCGTTTGTAGAATAATAAATAAACATAGTTTCAAAAACTCTCTTGTAGTAAGAATTTCATAATAAAAATATACAACATACTATTAATTAAGGTATTTTATCATGCCTTTATCCATAAAAAACGATGAAAGTTGATCAGCATATCTTTCTAAAGTTTGTAACTTTTTCATATTGCCTTTTTATAATTTGTATATTTCATTCGTAAATATATTTAATACAAAATGATAATTTTAATCTTTAACAAATGCATAAAAAACAAATACCCGACATAAATCATTATAGTTTCTCTTTTTTAATCTCCAAAATAAACAAAAGAAACTAAACCAAAAACTTAATATTATGGTAATTGATACTAATCAAACCAATATATATGTGAGGCACAAGAAAATAAGAGTTTATTGTCACGAAACAAAAAATAATACTAATAATAATACAAAGATTACTAACATGCAAAAAGAGAGAGAAGAATTTGCACCGTTGTATAGGGAGGATATTAACTTACCGATTGAAAAAATATTTGATGCGTGATGAACTCCTCCATTTATTTACTTTCTTATCTCCGTATTTTTAAGAGAAAAAAGTCAAAAGATCAAGGAGCGAAAAGAAGAAAAGAAAAATCTAAATTGAAGATATTACTACACACATGCTTGTTGACTTCGTTTTCTACAAAAAGTTATTCATCCTTAATTTTGGATCTCTATGTCATTTATCATGTTGGAAACAATATGATTTTCAAAACTTTTAAGCCTCAAATAATACCTTAATTTTGTAGAACCATTATTTTTTTGGTTAAAATAATACTCAGACTTGCAAATAAATTTAGCCTTCATTATTGGTCCTTAGAGGCATGTTTGTGCCGTTTCAAAAACTTTGGGAAATATGAAATTTGGAAATTAAGAAGGTGAAGTGGCACGTCCTCTGTTCGGTCATATACCACATTTATGCTTTTATCAAATTTTCAGCATTTTTCAGTTTTTTCCTTTGTTTTGTTTTTAAAAAGCCAAAGTCATTTCTTAGATGACACGGATTTTAGAAAGAAAAGGCACCTTTTTGAGGCACCTTTTCAGATGAGGTTTTTTTTTAAAAAAAAAATATCTATAAGTAAGAATATTTAGGATATTTAAAAGGGCATTTAAGTAATTTAAATTTTAACTAAGGGCTTCTCACTTTTATGATAATATAGATATAGATATAAATAAATTGGTCACAAAAATTTAGACAATGCCAGGAAGAAAATACAACGGGAAGGAATGGGGAAACAGCCTCTCCTACCAAAAAAACAAAAGACTTCTAGCTCTCGCATTGATCACTGACATATATTGACTATGTTTTTATTGAGCCGATGGTCTATCGAAAATAATATTTTTACCTCCACAAAATAGGACATATTAACCTCCTCAAGTCCCACTTGTAGGACTACACTGAATTTGTTATTATTGAATGGGAAAAAATCTTCGTCTAGAGATTTAACTGTCTTGTTGTTCCTATTTGCTTACAAATTTGTAACCTTATAAATTTTCAAATTTGGGTTATTCACCCCTTTGGATTGTGGCGTTCGAATTAGCATCTTCTAGCCGAATTCATCATATATCATGTACTATATGCTAAGCAACTGTCAAGTTATCTGTACAAACCCCATAAATCTCATCTGAGGGCATTCAACTTATAAGAACTAAAATTATGTGACTTACGTGGTGATATTGATCTGTAATTAAGCACTCAATGATAAACCTACTGGAATTTGACATGGATATGGACAGTGGAGGATCCAAAATTTAAACACTATGGGGTCGTTTGGTTGGACTATGATTTATACCAGTATAAGTTATGTCGGTATTGATGGATTAATATATGCAGCGGAAGCAATCCCAGTATCAAAATCACATGTAATCTAGACAACTAGCATAAAGGGGATTTCACGGGTTACCTCTTGAAGCGTGAGCAAACTCCTTTATCACGTGAGCCTCCAATTCTACACTAACTCAATGAATTCTCCACACCCCACACGATCACGATCTCCGAACGTTCCACGGTCTTCTACTGTGTTACCCAAATAGTACCCGGAAATAGTAATTTCGTGTGGGCGAAATTTCTAAGGAAAATGGGCTGAAATTCGGCCACCATGTGCTCCTCTTTCTAGGTGGAAAACCTTATGTATTTATAGCACAAGTTTTAAGGGTTAAGACCCTTTTCCAAAACCTGTTGGGTTTTCTTTTCCACCAGAAAAAGGATTCCTTTATTTTCTATTATTTAGGCACAGCAGGGACCACAGAATTTAATTAACAAGGCTTCCAATTATGGAATTAATTTATAATTTTCCAAATTAATATCCACCATAATTAATTATGAATTATTCCACTAAAAATTCGTAATTGCACTCCTTATTCAATTTTGAAATTCATCCATTAAATCTTATTTAACTCCCCATGTTAAGATTCAGATACTAATCAATTAAATTAAATTACTGACGATTTAATTTATTGATTATTTCCTTTAGACTTTCGCTTAACTTATTTCATGTGTCGGATACAAAATCCACCGGCCGAGTTTACACATGAAAACTTATAAGCTTTCATAAAGGTGTATCATCAATCTCTAAACCGAGACATGGATTCCATCAACTAACTATTACTTCGCCAATGTACATTATTATTATCCAATTTACCAGGCATATTGACCCACGAAAGAATCTCGCCTTTTAATAAATCAAAACAATAATAATATACACAACTAATAATAATTATATCAAGATTAAGAGTATAAGTACATTTAATGGCTAGAGAGTTTATTTTATTAAGTCAGTATAAAATACTTATCTCTACTTGGTCCGTTCAATACATACAAAATGTACTAGCACAAGAAGTTGGAATTAAACCATTTCCATAATCAAGATAAATTATATTTAATCTTGTGCTACAATCATTCCTGATGGTTTTTCCAATTCCATCATTAGATTGTGAACTCAAACTTTATACTTATAAGAACCGATGATTTAATCTTCCGTGTATAAGCTAAACTCTATACACTAAATCATCTACTATATAAGCAAAGGACACCGACTAATATATGATCTATTAAATCTTTATTAAAATTGAATGAACAATATTATCATAATAAATACTATATCTAAACCAAATCCATGGTTAATAGTATATATCCCAACAATCTCCCACTTAGACTTTTAGCCATGACAATTGTTAGAATATACTATATCTAAACGCATGGTTAATAGTATATGCCCCAACAATCTCCCACTTAGACTCATAAACATGCATCTACAACTTTCTCAGGCATTCTTTTACATGACTATTAAACATCTTCACCAAATAAGGTTTTGTTAAAGAA